GAATGAAGCAATATTACATCAGTTGGCCAAAGGGCGGTGCTATAGCAACTGACTGAAATTGCAAACTTTGAATGGGCATATCTCATGCCCCGTATGTCGTACAGACATGAAACTTAGCACAGAGATGCCTCTCCTCATGAGGAACAAATTTGCCTCAAGAACCCATAACTTCCGGTTATACAGATTTTCTGCCATTTTGAATTTTTTGAAAAACACTTAAAATCGATCTCTTCTTAGGAAGTTTGACCGATCTGCATGAAACTCGGTTTCATAAGGGACCAATATCTAAAGTTCCCTCTTGGCAAAAGTTGGAAAAATTACTAAAACTGAGCTTCTATAAAGCAATGAATATTGCGGAGGGCGTGGCTCATCACATAAAGGTGTATAACATCTCAAGGGTTTCACCGATCACCATGCAACTTTGTAGGCATATGACCACACATAATCTGAGGGGACCCCTCCATTATTGACCCGATCAAACAAAATGGGGGCGCTAGAGAGCTAATTTCTTATCTAGGCCTAACCGCCATATCGATTTTTACTAAACTTGGGAGATATGTAGAACAGGACGCCACAAGATGACTGGAGAAATTTAACTCTAATTGGCAACTGGGTGGTGCTATAACAACAGAAAAATGCTTAAAAATGCCTAAAATGCGACTGATCACTGTGGCTGCCCCTGTGGCCGAATGCTTGTTTTTTTTTTTTTTTCTTATAATTTTTGGTATGACTAACTCATGGTATGGTATGGTATGCTGTACATAATCACGGAAACTGTCAGTGTGTCATTCTGTCAGTCAGTCATTCTGTCTGTCCCACATTTTTCTATTCACTGACATGGTCAATCTATGTGAAACTGCACATAGGCATTAAGGATTGGCATAGGTAGAAGATGACAATGCTACTCTTTCCAAATGACAGTATTAGTATATTCTTTTCCCATGTGAACTACCAGTGCACCCCACTTTTAAGTCAATACAACATATAAACACTTTAACTATCTGCCTTCAATGTGCTACCTCAACTACTAATGTAAAGTTTTAGCCCACTAACTATCCCACTATTGGCAATGGTACTACTGTACTTTCAATAAAGCAATCATACTATCAAATTCACAAAAAGTCTGCCTGTCTGAACATATATATACAGTACAGGCCAAAAGTTTGGACACACCTTCTCATTCAATGCGTTTTCTTTATTTTCATGACTATTTACATTGTAGATTCTCACTGAAGGCATCAAAACTATGAATGAACACATGTGGAGTTATGTACTTAACAAAAAAAGGTGAAATAACTGAAAACATGTTTTATATTCTAGTTTCTTCAAAATAGCCACCCTTTGCTCTGATTACTGCTTTGCACACTCTTGGCATTCTCTCCATGAGCTTCAAGAGGTAGTCACCTGAAATGGTTT